TAAATTCCTCTCCAATCATCTTTTAATTAATCCTAAATTAATTAAAATTACCATTATTTAATGATATTTATGGTTCAGGTACTGTTAATTTGGGCAGTAAAAAACCCGCCATATCATCAGCAACAAAGGGTCCCAGTCACCGCCATCTCAACACTGGATCACATCCTTTCACAGCCTATGGTTGTTTTATTGATAACTTTGACATTTGTTAGACAATGCTTTTTCTTGATTTAGTTTTAAATTTTTATATTTTATATTATTGAAAATAATAAAAAATATTAATAAAAATGAATATTAAATATATTTTTAAAGTATTAAAATATTAAAAAGTTAACTATTACAATTACATGTTAGCAACCTCAAATTAAGTCTTAATTAAGAAAATTGTTAAAAAGTGGCGAAAATGCCACACTCGATGAATGTGGGGAATCACATGCATCTGACTTTTCAGGGGCATTTTTCCATCTCTAGAAAAGTGCAGGGGGTTTCCACTTTTTTCCCATAATCTCGAAAAGTACAGGGGTTGTTCGACAAGAGGACTGCTAGGGGCACTCGCCTTCTGCACTCTCCGGCCAGCACGTTCACTTTTATTGGGCCACGTTATTCTGGTAGTGAAGAGGTTGACTTCAAAGCTGAAACAAGCTTACGTGGCCCAATGAAAGGGGAAGTGTCGGCCGGAGAGTGCAAGAGGCGAGTGCCCCTAGCAGTGCTCGTTCGACAATTCACAAAGAAAACTAATGGAGTCCACTCAGTCCAGGGTCTTCACACATTGGGAAAAGTAAACTGTTCATAGACGTGGAGACTAAAAATTTAATAATTAGACTTTTATATTTAAAATGGTGTTTTAATATACTGGATCCTTATTTTAAGTGTTATTCTCAACACTTCATTGTTCAATTTAATAATGTAAGTAGTGCCTAAAATAAGTTGTCTAAATGACATACGTTCAGAATGAAAATGCTATAATTTTGTGGAATTACTGTTGATAAAATAAGTATTAATGCAAATTATTTTAAATAATTATTTTTTCTTTTAATTAATTAGATTAATAAATAGTTTATTATCTATGTGGCCTATATTAATTTAGTCTATATACAATTTTAAATAATTTTCAAACCTATCTGGAGGCTGTTAATTATGTCACCACAACACGCGAACTGCTCTTCATCTGGCTGTGAAAAGCTACCAGGTTGAAGTTCTTGTCATGTTAGTCAGATTTGTGAAAGACTACCGCCTTGATGTAGTGGAGATAATCAACTCAATGGATGAGGAAGGAAACACTGTCCTGCACCTCGCGGCTTTTATAGGTTCCGAGAGTGAGGAGCTAGTACAAAGGGCACATAAGGGTTGGACTGACTTATCAGCTAGCGTAATCATGGCTAGAATGCTTGAATTAATATATATATATATATATATATAAGATTGATTGGATTCAGAGTTTAATTAATTACGAATGAATTTATTAGTAGCTAAGCACTTTGAATGTTGATTATCCTTGGATCTTATATCTTTTTGTTTATAAATGATGTATCAATTTGATAGACTTTTTGTTTTTGTCTATTATCAGTGTGAGTATTTAGACAAATTTATATTTGATAACTATGTTACGTGCTGCAATATATGTTTGAATATTGTTTATTAATTATTTTTTCTAACAATAGAATATTATCCGCTACTATATGTGTTAGCAATGATAATATATTTATTTGTTTTCCCCGACCACAAGCGCACAAGTCAATGTTTAGGCAAACCTAACCTATAAGATGGATGGAAATAATAATGCTTGTTACTCACTCCGTTAAAGTTTGAAAACTCTTAACCCAATTCTGCTTTTCCATTCATCAAAAATTGTGGGAGTTTCAAAAATGAAAAAAAAAAAAGTCAATACTCAAACCATCATGTGAAAAAAAAAAGTGTCAATCGTCAAATCAGATTATAACTATCACATTACCTTTTGTCATAACCTAATTTTCATTAGGGGCTAAATGATAAGGTTAGAAATCTATGGAC